CATCTTGGCCCCGAAGGATGGGGGCTCAAGGGGGGCCAGCCTCTGCAGCGCCTGAAATGATCGGTTTGTCACATTCTGATCTGCTCTGCGTATCCGGCTATTTGTGTTTATCGATACTTTATATACCATACCTAGCTGTCTTTATACAGATAAACTGAGCAAGCAAATAATTATCCTAATTCATTATAGCATATTTCACGGTCTACCTAAAAGTTGGGGAACATAAAAAACAGGCGTTATGCACTTTTATAACTTTGAGATATATGATGACGAAAACTGTTACAAAATTTTCTTAAAGTACAAAATATATACACAAAATTCCCTGAAATACAAAAGTAATTATAAAACGAGGTTTATAATAGGGAAAGGAGACGAACAGCAAGAAATAGAAGAAAAAACAGAGATGAAAAGAGGCAGAAGACGAAAGAAAAGAAGAAAAAATAAATCAGTAGAAAAAAACGAAGCAAAAGAAAAAGAAGTATAAACAGAAAAAAGAGGCGGACGACTCAGACGACGACGAAGAAGAAAAAAGAAATCCACAGCTATATCGCTTCAGCCGTGACGTGAAAAGCCCCGTCCCCCGACCCGACTTCATTTACATAATCTAGGACTCACCTTCGGTCCTCTGTCCTCGCTCTCTCTGTCCTCGTGAGTTCTTTCGGCAGAGGAATGGTCGTGGGTTCCTGGGGCGCTCGTGTGGTCCTCCGTGTAGTAGTAGGAATCGGTTAGGTAGGAAGGGCCTGGGGGCTTCGTTACCGTCTGTGGAACCGTGGATTGTTTTTTATCGTGTACATTTATCTGTGTATGCATGTATGTATAAGAATGTGTATGTGTGTGTGTGTGTGTGTGTCCATTTCTATTCCATTGAAGGGTAGGGTAGATATGATATAAACCGCCATGGGGATAATTTAAATATTATGGAAACACATTAGCTAAAATTACTCATTTATATCTAAAATGTTATTATATCCAAAACCAAATCATTTCTAATTCTAATATTTTAGAAACAATATCTTAACAAGTATGCTACATGACTCACTCCCCTCAAAGAATCCATGTATAAGAATAAACTGTCTAATGCTAATCTCAATGTAATTGCAAAAATGTTAATAAGGGATATATACAAATGTCAAATGAATCAAAAAAGGTGATCTTTCTTCTTACACAGACCTAGCTTCAACTCTCCTGACCCAGCTTCAAAACACCATGGCTCTCACAATGACCTCACTTCACAAACCTTATACCGGACCTGCCCTTCATACTGAATCCCATTCCAAACATTCTTACTGACTTGCCTATTGTTCATACTGACCTCCTGTAGCTCCAAAGACCCTACACTGACCTATCTCAATGGCCCTTAGCATGAACTACACTTCGAAATCCTTACATTTGGTGTAACTCCACCACCCTAATATTTAACACATTCCCTCATCCTCACTTATTCAATTATGAAATACATCCAGTGACCTCATTTCCTTCATACTGACCCTACTTTGACCTAGCACCTCCAACGCTCCTAAACAGAATGAACCGTATTCACGTAGAAAGGTATGATGAGAATGAATATCTTGACAATACAAGAGATGTATTTAACCAGTTTCGAATATCTATCTTTGCCAGAAATAATAAAAAAGGGTGACATTATGAAGCTCCTCTACAGACCTCGCTAGCGATGTGATTGAGATGCCCGTGTTCGTTGATAGGCAGGCGCACGGTGGTGGTCGTAGGCTTGGAGGTCGTGGAGGGCATGTCCAGCTTCTTGGGGAGGGACGACCTCGGCGGTGGAATCGGGGGAGGAGCCGAACCGCCGCCCAACTTGATGCCGAAATCCTGCCGGCGGAGGAGGAGGCGTTAGAGGCAGGAAGGCTGGGATTAATGCATTGGTAGTGTTATACGGGTTTAAGATTATTATCTTATTTGCATTAACCTGCATTAACTTTAGTACTGTCATCGTTAATGTTCTTATCTGTTTTTATATATTTTTGTTAATCGTACCATTATACTTAATATTACCACAATCTAGTGTGATAACTGTTCTCTTATTAACATTATCATAACCATAGTCTTCTGCTCTCTTGATAATTATATCTTCAGTATCATTAATATCACCATGATCAATTATTACAACTATGAGTACTTTAATCATTACCGATATGATTATATTGCCACGATCATTATCATCACAACAAAACATTAATGCCACAACTGCTACTAGTATAATAACCAATTGTAATTATCCTTAGTATCTTTATTAATAGCATAATTACTATACTTCCCTTTGAACACATTAATTTTCAAGACTCGCTTTCATTAAAATTCTTTCTTATACGGTTTTTGTTCTTCCTGTTGGTATTTGTGTTATTACTTTTCTGAAATTGGTACTATAATTACTTACAACAATGTTCTTGGTTTAGTGTTTTCTTTATTGGAAATGGGACCATAAAAATGCAGTAAAAACAAGTATGTTCTGCATATTAATAGCAATATCGTAAAACCTACTTTTACCGTCCTATTACTCTCATTATAATCAGTAAAAAGACTTTACTTTATCAGTATAACGAAAACTACGAACATGTCAAATAAAACGTTCTGGAATCCAAAAACAGTAAAAGAAAAAAGAAATTGAGCAAAAAAGAAAGAGTTAACAATTTATACTGATTCCCTGTCTCCCCCCCCCCCACGCCTGCCTTCCAAGAGGCCTTTTCTTTATCAATAAAGCGAAAATCAACATGAATATCATAATTGTTAAACATCCTGGAATCTTATTTAAACAAAAAAAAGAAGAAAAAATATATAATCATACTCATCCCTCCCTTTCCTTTCTCTCTCCCCCCCCACCCCCTCCCACAGCCTGCCTTCCACAGAGCTCGATCTACCAGTACAGCCGACGAGGGTATTAATCAAGAACAGGATTTCCTCACAGCTTAATCACTGAGAAGATGAAAATGACCTTCAATTTCTCTTAAAGCGGAGAAAATGGCCGTCATGCATCAGAGGAAGCGGCAAGAACCTGGCTTGACCTTGCGATTCCGTGTCATGTTACGGGAGCTGGTCACTCTCTCCAAGCTCAGGTATAAGGCAGGTCTCATTTGCATAATCCGAGAGGAAAATACATAGAACATAAAGTCAGTCATTATCTTAATTATAATTAAACTGTTATTGCTACTGATATTTCTGTCATTATTATCACATAATTTTTAGGCTTACTACTAATTCGATTATTACTATCTATGTTTTATTATCGTTACTTTTATCACCATTATCACAATCGTCATCATTAGAATGACTATCGTTAACATTAATGTTATTACTATTGCATTATGATTATGAACATGCAATATTCACACATATCTAATTATTTAAAAAAACCAATATGTCTCCCCCCAAATTAAAAAATCTTAAACTCAAAATATATAATAAAAGAAAACACTGCCCTTCAACTCACCTTAAAGTCCTCAGGCAGGACGGGGAAATAGACGGGCGAATTGTCGTTGAGTTCCCCGTCAGGTCCTTCGTTGATGGAGACGAGGGCGGTCGCCACGCCCACCAGAGCTGCCGGGGACCAAGGAGAAGGTGGAGGTCAGGGATACGAGTGAGTAGCTTTAGGGGTCACTGTTTCTTTTTATATATGGGGTTAATGACCTTTATAGGTTGGCTAAGTAGTGCGCCTGACCTTTATGCAATAGCAGGGTCTCAGATTATTGGCGGAGGAAAAAAGTAGTCGCTTCTGATATTCCATGGTTGTTTGGTACCTTACTTGGATGTGTGGAAATAATACCAATTTGCAAACTGCAAATTCACACACACTCATTCACACACATATTTCCATACATACATACACATACGCACACACATAATATATATACATATATGGATACATATATACGCATACATACATAAACACACATACACATATATATATATCTAAATGTGAATACACACATGTATATATATAGACACACTGACTATACCACGAAAGCAATACATATATTCACACATTTTGATCAGCATAGATATCTATACCTATACGATTTTATATTTGTGAATCTGAATTAACAAATTAAAACAATTATGTTTGTGTACACGGTCACATGCAAATGCACCTACGTATCAACACACGCACACACACATGTATAAAACATATACATTTAAACATATATATTTATATATAGATATATTTGTATATATATATATACACATATATGTATACATGTATATATATATATACATATATATATACACACACACACATATATATATATATATATATATATATATATATATATACATTTATATATATATACATATATAATTTGTATACACACATAAATCACATCAGATATATATATATATATATATATATATATATATATATATATATATGTGTGTGTGTGTGTGTGTGTGTGTGTATATATATATATATACACAGGCGTACGAACCACATATCGAGTGACTCACAAACACAAGTAAGCAATACATGCTTTATGAATGTATTTCAATCGAACAATAAATTATACCAAACGGGATTCAAACAAACAAGCACGCAAAAGCAAAATACAAAATCAAATATGAAAGGAACTTAATGAACCGTGAAATGAAAACCGGCGCAAAAAACCCGCAGAATTTTTCGCGCTAGGTTAACGTTTCTCCTCGACTTACCTGATATTAAGACGAGCATTTTAGGCGAAGGCAACATGGCGTGCAGTTAAGAGGCTGTAAAAGAAAGAAAGAAAAAGTTAGTTACAGTTCTTTGTTATGGTAAAAACACACTAGAATGATTTTCCGATATGTAAAGCATGAAGTATGAAGTGACTTACAGGTAATCCAAGGTACTGTAAAAAGCTGGGATCCAATTAGACTCATTTTCCAAAGAACATTTCTACTCATTTATCTTATCGGATATCAATATCTCTGCAATCCACTATCATTATGTTACCAAATATTAATGTCGTTCAACAGCACCGAGACTTTAGATAACAAAAAAAAAAAAAAAACGAACATATTCGAATTTAAATTATCTGAAACTGTTCAGTATTCGAAATTACACGAACGGAGAATTTTCACACACGCATAAACGCAGTAATATATGTGGGATTAATTTCTGCATATTATGGGTACGAACGGAGATCCTGGACTGTTTCACCAAAGAAAACGTGACTGACAGCTCTTCCTCTATCAGGGTAACTATGGTGTTCTTCATGTTATCCAAATTTGATACAATATGCTTTATGTTTTCGGTTTAAATGCTATCAATAAATGTACGTATCTATGGATATAAATAATAAATAGGCAAATGGTTAGACTGACTAATGTATTACAAATTAAGACTCCATACTGATTCGATAAAGAGCGAAAGTGAATTAGCGTACTCGAACTTATATATATATATATATATATATATATATATATATATATATATATATATATATATATATATATATATATATATATATATATATATATATATATATATATATATATATATATATATATATATATATATATATATATATATATATATATATATATATATATATATATATATATATATATATATATATATATATATATATATATATATATATATATATATATATATATATATATATATATATATATATATATATATATATATATATATATATATATATATATATATATATATATATATATATATATATATATATATATATATATATATATATATATATATATATATATATATATATATATATATATATATATATATATATATATATATATATATATATATATATATATATATATATATATATATATATATATATATATATATATATATATATATATATATATATATATATATATATATATATATATATATATATATATATATATATATATATATATATATATATATATATATATATATATATATATATATATATATATATATATATATATATATATATATATATATATATATATATATATATATATATATATATATATATATATATATATATATATATATATATATATATATATATATATATATATATATATATATATATATATATATATATATATATATATATATATATATATATATATATATATATATATATATATATATATATATATATATATATATATATATATATATATATATATATATATATATATATATATATATATATATATATATATATATATATATATATATATATATATATATATATATATATATATATATATATATATATATATATATATATATATATATATATATATATATATATATATATATATATATATATATATATATATATATATATATATATATATATATATATATATATATATATATATATATATATATATATATATATATATATATATATATATATATATATATATATATATATATATATATATATATATATATATATATATATATATATATATATATATATATATATATATATATATATATATATATATATATATATATATATATATATATATATATATACAGGCGTACGAACCACATATCGAGTGACTCACAAACACAAGTAAGCAATACATGCTTTATGAATGTATTTCAATCGAACAATAAAATATACCAAACGGGATTCAAACAAACAAGCACGCAAAAGCAAAATACAAAATCAAATATGAAAGGAACTTAATGAACCGTGAAATGAAAACCGGCGCAAAAAACCCGCAGAATTTTTCGCGCTAGGTTAACGTTTCTCCTCGACTTACCTGATATTAAGACGAGCATTTTAGGCGAAGGCAACATGGCGTGCAGTTAAGAGGCTGTAAAAGAAAGAAAGAAAAAGTTAGTTACAGTTCTTTGTTATGGTAAAAACACACTAGAATGATTTCCCGATATGTAAAGAATGAAGTATGAAGTGACTTACAGGTAATCCAAGGTACTGTAAAAAGCTGGGATCCAATTAGACTCATTTTCCAAAGAACATTTCTACTCATTTATCTTATCGGATATCAATATCTCTGCAATCCACTATCATTATGTTACCAAATATTAATGTCGTTCAACAGCACCGAGACTTTAGATAACAAAAAAAAAAAAAAACGCGCCAGACACCCTAACTTGTAAGAGCTTCAACCTGCAACCTGTACTGACCAGTGTCCAGGACTCGGCGAGTAAGAGTTAGAAGGTGGGAGGAGCACCAGTTCCTAGGTCAGTGGCGACCAGTTCTTGCGAGGCGTGAAAGTGTGTAAGCTTATGTATGGTTGCGCAGGTTTAGCAGTACACATATGTGCGTGGGAGGGAGGCAGAAGGAGGAGAGAGGAAAGGGTGAGCTCGAAATAGAGAAAGAGAGAGAGAGAGGGGGGGGGGGGGGGGAGAGAGAGAGGAAAAGAAAGCATAAAAAAGAGAGAGACTGATAATTCATAAGATGATAATAGAACTGATTAGTAAATTACTAGTACTATTAATAATATGAAAAGTGAAAATGTACTTGATAATAATGATACCAACAACAGTAATAA